GTGCTCCTTGTCCCCGTAGAACCCAACAATCTGTTAGGCCTTGTGCTCAATATGGTTCACAAAATCAAAGTCGGTCGAAATGGCATCCGACAGTGTGATACCCAAATTGGGGTACACATATCCATCCCTTCGTTCAAACTCGAAAAAATGGGTCTTGCTACTTAACGAAGGGCTATCACATGTGACTAAGGATGAAAACGGTCGGAAACGGTCGAAAAACTCCTAAATTGTTTTCTACTTTTACATTTGAAATACGAAAACGAAAGCGAAAATGGTAAAGCCGAACATGAAAACGAACGCGAACTTACGAAATATCGAGAATTCCGAAAATGAACTAATTCGAGCGGATTTATGTCGAACACGGTCGATATACGAAAACTCAATACGGAATACCGACCTGTAGGACCAAGTGCATGACTAAGTACATACATGATCAAGTTCAAGTGCATATAATAATTAACAAGTGCATGATCCTTGGTCTTAGATATTTAACACAATAGCCGACACATAAATATAAGTCTAGAACAAGCAATTAGTAGCTAGCAGGATAATAGGAATTAAAATTAGATGTAGCAACTAGCATACCATTTTAGAATCTGAACTAAAATTAGATGTTATAGAAACATGAACTAGAACTGAGTCAGGATAATTTTATTAATTTTTTGAAATAGATGTAGTATTTTATTTTAAAGATTTATTCAGAATTTTCTTTTAAATAACAAAGATTTATTTGGCTGAGGCAAAAACTATCAAATGATTGACTTCGCATGTGGGGGTTAAACCGATGAGCTTGATGGGCTATGGCCCAGGTGGGCATTCGTATAGATGAGGCTGTGCGCCGTTTATAAGAGAGGGCAGCTGGTCACCAGTAGAAAGAACGCAGCTGCGTGGTGAGCAGCCTGTAATTGGGCTGTATGACCTGTGCAGTTGGTCAAATTCGGTTTAAACCGAATTTTGAATTCGGAATATTTCAAATTAAAAGTAGAAAAGTAGAAAACGGTCGAAAAATGTCTAAACCGTTTTCTACTTTTACATTTGAAATACGAAACATCTAAAATGCGAAAGCGAAAACGGTAAAGTCGGACAAGAAAATACGGATTCGATCGGATTAAATATAGAAAACGATGCGGTTTCGGTTCGGGATATTTCCGTTCCGTTTTCATCCTTACATGTAACCCACTCCTCCACCAAGTCATGGCTGATCTACCATCGAGACGTCATTGCGAGGGCGTCGACGGCTGCAGCGTCATCCTTACTACCTGTTTGGAATTCAGCCAGGTGAAACCCGTCCATAGGGAGCATCTCAAAAACCAAAACATGTGCTTTCGGCAATCCATTCGTCATCGCCACGACGACATCTTCGTCGGTACACACGCAATGGTAGAACCAATAATTTGTCTAGCGTGGCCACTTATTGCGATACGTCGGCACTATTGTCACAGTACCCCGCGTCTTCTTTGGCACAAAATTATAGGACGCATAGTGTGCCACCATCTCAGTCTTCGTCTGCTTGTCCTTGACAGTCTTCTTGTGTAGGTGAGTCTTGTAATAACGAGCGAAAGTGTCGACACTCAAAGCGCACCCATCCATCTTGAGCGCCATAACATATACACCTAACCGAGCGAAACCGTTCGACGTCAACTGATGAATTTGCGAGTTGAAGCGCTGCAAAACCTCACCGACGAAATCCTCATAGGGAAACCGTAGCCCCGCCTCGGAAAAATCCCAAAAAACAACGGCTTCATAGGGCTCCGGATTGGGCACCTCCTCTTGGCCTAGAGCGCGGCATAAGCCACGAAGTGAAGCCTTTATGAGCCCACGCTCAACATACTCTCCAAGGTCGTCATCAGTCACGTGAGACCGGCCAATCCAGTAGGTGGCTGGGGAAAGATCCGGCCAGCCTTTCGCACCAGAGGGTGCGGGGCCCGCGGTCTCTGCCTCTTTGCCCTCCTCCACTATCTCGATGTCCGCATCAGTCTCTTCGACCGCCGGATCGGGCGAATGGGCCTGATCATCTGCAGCACGGTGCTCTAGCATCAAGTTATCATTTTGCCTCTGCGGAGAGTCACTCAATATCTAATCCATTTGGCATTGCGAGCGAGTACACAACTCTGGACTAGAACCGCCAGATGAGCTCCCACTGGACGAGCTTTCGCCAGACGATGACTCACTTGACATCTATTCGCGCACATAGCACAACAAAGGTGCAAGCAAAAACAACAAAGAAACGAAAAAGGGCAAGCAGTGACATCAACGGGAAATTAAAGCAAACTAAACTAAACGAAAGCAAAGCCAAACTTACCTGTGGAGACCTTGCGAAGAGCGGAGGCTTGCAACCAGCGAACGAAGCCAGAAACCGAAACAAGCGAATGGCAAAGAGCGATATACGCCTTCAATCGGGAACTCAGGAAAGAAGGGAGCGCATGGTTCTCTCTCCTCGGGGGGGCTTATATAGCCGCCCGGGGGGCGGCACGCGCACCGAGAAACTACCACGGCGGTTCGCCTAGCCATTGCGATGGTTTAGCTGTCATGAAACAATAACTGCGACACGCAAATCGAAAAAATGGAATCAGTTAGTCCTTGAAAAAAAGCCTGCCAATCAGATCGAATCAGTCCTCCATTCTTCGTAGGAGACGATGCCTGAGCCCCGTAGCAAGGACGTTCGCATAGCGGCCATGGCATCGCGCGAAAGGCAAAAGCCGTTCGAGCGATACCAAGAGGCTAATGTCGGGGGGGGGCGCCAAGCTTTTGGGCACCCCCACGGGGCTCATGCATTGCCGCCCCATATGCAGCTACCTTTTCGCCGCAGCGAATTAACTCAGAGCGTGCGGAGATGAAAGAGACCCAGAGAGCGGCTAACGTATTGTTTATCATTTCGCCAAGGCAAAATGGCGGTCCAGTGTTTGGCAAGGGCCCGCTGCCTTTTCACCTGGGTGAAAAGGCCAGCCCCGTATCCCCTAGGGATCGATGTCCCTTTGCCAAGACGAAAAGACGGTCATGAGTCAAGTAGAGGCTGTCGTTGTTCCGCCAAGGCGAGATCTTAGTCGCGTATGTTGGGCTCGGACGATCCAAGCGCAAAGCCCGCTCCCTTCGCCGGAGCGAAGAGGTGCATGAGGGCCGGTAAAGGTGATGTTCGCCTGGGCCATTTCGCCAAGCGCATGCTTGGCGCTTGTTTATGTATCTGACCCTATAGGTTTTCGCCCGGAGGAGAGCTCGCCAGGAGGCAAGGTGCCGACAACCACGGCCTGCTAGGGACCGCTCGGTCGACAAAAGGGCGACACGACGCGAGGATCAGAGGGTCGTCGCTACCTGAGGCTGGCGATACCTCCGAAAGGGCGAACAAGTCCCGGGCGGACGGGAATATTCCTCGAATGTATAGCAAGTAGAGGGGTAGTTTTGTCCATGAAAGGCCTGCGGGCAAGTATAAAAGGCCCCCAAGACGGGGATTGTAAGAGAGAGACACAGTTCCATGGTGAATATATGAGCTTGGTTTTCTCCACCCTGTATTCGCTTCGACATTCGGTTTGCTTGATTTGCTTATGTAACGACTCGGTGTTCGAATGCTAAGGCCTAGAACAACACCTACCAAACGGGGTACGGAGTGTCCACTCCTTCTGCGAATCACGCTCTCTAGAACTGAAATCCTCCGAGAGAGCCCAAAAAACTGGCTTCGGCCCACTCCTCCATCCGAGCGCATGGACCCTCCCTGAACTTTCCTTCATCTAGGAGTGCGAGATGCGGCAGTTGACGCAGAGTTGTGCGTGATGTCTTGGGATGGAGCGAAGCCACATCGGAGCGGAGTCGGGTGTCCCTATAGGTGGGGCGCTGGAACTAGCGGCGAGGAGAAACAGATGGGCCAGAGTCGGATAGAGTTGGGTGGGAGCAGCAGCAAGAGCAGAAAGAGAGACGTCAGGGCAGGGCCAAAGTCAGAGAAGTCTGATGGGACAAGGTGGGGCGGAGTCTGAGAGAGACAGGTGTGGCATTGGAGACAAATGCGCCGGATTGGAGAAACTGATAGCGATCGAATGAAGATGATAAATAAGGAGGGAAAGTCTCTACTTTACACTTAAAAAGACTCTAAAATAATCTACTCGGTGATACAAAATCTCGCTCCTGCTCATGTATCCACGTTCGATACGAATCATCCTCCACTCGAAGCTCACACGTCTGTATCCTACCCGGTTCCAATACGAAGACCGGATCCACGTGTCTGCGTCTAATACGAAATCCTCGGAGCTCACGCGTCTGCGTCCGAGTAACGATGTTCAGTCAAAAAAATTATGATCCCAGTGCAACGCACGAGCATATATCTAATAAATAAATAAATAAGGAAGATAAAAGAAAAGAAGAGTATTATAGATATTCACTATTTTTATCCACAATAAAGATCTGTTTTATCAAAAGTTTTTCTTAATAGCTTCATCTCCACTGGCCGAAGCTAAGAAAAGCTACTTTAGCTTTATCTCCACGGGTCGAACCCACTATCAGCCTATTCGTTTGGCTGTGACTTGTCGTAAACGATCTAAAATTTTCAGCCGGAACAGTATTTTTCTCTCACACAAACCAGCCAGCAGTACTTCTTCACGAACCAGCAACGATATAAACCAGCCAACCGAACAGTGTATATAAGAAAAGCTACCCTAATATATATGAAGCGTAGCTGTACGAAACACGTCCCAAAACCGGGTCTTCTACGAATGGACCAGGAGAGCAATTGCCAATTTATGTGGAGGACTCTGTGTGTTAGTTTCCACACTCGGGCGGTCGGTCGTGCACGCACTGCACTTCTTTTTTTTTAGGTTATGGCCACTCAAACCATTTCCACCAACTACTCGCAGTCCGCGTCAACACCACTGCAGCCACCACCGTGCGAGGGGAGGCCCAAATCACGCGCCTTTCCCCACTGCACCGCGGCAAACCACCCGCAGCTCACGCTTGGCTGACGGCCGACCCCATTCGTCCTAGCCCTCCCCCTCCGGCACTCCGATCCATTCCTCGCCATGGACGCGGCGGGCGGCGAGCAGCTGAGCCTGGCCGCGGTGCGCGACGCGCTGGTCCGGCTGGAGGACTCCGTGGTGTTCGCGCTCATCGAGCGCGCTCGGCACCCGCGGAACGCGCCGGCCTACGCGCCCGCCGCCGCCGGCGGAGGACATTCGCTCGTGGAGTTCTTCGTCCGGGAAGCAGAGGCCCTCAACGCGAAGGCAAGCTTCTTCCTTTTCATGCGTCGCTTGTTCGTCTTACGCCGGCCGCGGCGCAAAGGCCCGACCGTCATTTTTCTCTGTTGTTAAGACTTGTATTGCCTTGCCTGGTTGAGGAACTATGCGGATGAGGCCAAATCACTGCGCGCTCAAGTTCTTGGTCGGGCTGAACCTGTCGTTTGTTATTGTAAATGTGATCAGCTTACCTACTATTCAAGGTGACAAGATTTTTAAACGCTCAGACCCCCCATTGGTTGGGTTTGGAATTCAGCTGAAATGTAGAGGCTGCAGTTGTTGCCGTTGGCAGATTACCTATTTTTGTCTTGTGTAATGCTTAATTTAGGTCTAATTTAACTAGTAAAGCAAATCGTTTGTAGAACTTCAGTACACTAGTAGGATTGAAATAACAACAACAACAACCAATCATTTAAGTCCCAAACAAGTTAGGGTAGGCTAAAGTTAAAACCCAACAGAAACAATCAAGGTTCAGGCACGTGAATAGCTGTCTTCCAAGCATTCCTATCTAAGGCTAAGTCTTTGGGTATATTCCATCCTTTCAAGTCTCCTTTTATTGCCTCTACCCAAGTCAACTTCGGTCTTCCTCTGCCTCTCTTCACGTTACTATCCTGATTTAGGATTCCACCACGCACCGGTGCATCTGAAGGTCTCCGTTGTACATGTCCAAACCATCTCAACCGTGTTGGACAAGCTTTTTTCAATTGGCGCTACCCCTAATCTCTCACGTATATCATCGTTCGAACTCGATCCCTTCTTGTATGCCCATAAATCCAACGCAACATACGCATTTCCGCGACACTTAGCTGTTGAATATGTCGTCTTTTCGTAGGCCAACATTCTGCACCATACAACATAGCAGGTCTAATCGCCGTCCTATAAAATTTGCCTTTTAGCTTCTATGGTACCCTTTTGTCACATAGGACACCAGACGCTTGCCGCCACTTCATCCACCCTGCTTTGATTCTATGGCTAACATCTTCATCAATATCTCCGTCCCTCTGTAGCATTGATCCTAAATATCGAAAGATATCCATCCTAGGCACTACTTGACCTTCCAAACTAACATCTTCCTCCTCCCGAGTAGTAGTGCCGAAGTCACATCTCATATACTCAGTTTTAGTTCTACTAAGTCTAAAACCTTTGGACTCCAAAGTCTCCCGCCATAACTCCAGTTTCTGATTCACTCCTGTCCGGCTTTCATCAACTAGCACTACATCGTCGCGAAAAGCATACACCAAGGATGTCCCCTTGTATGTCCCTTTGACCTCATCCATCACTAAAGCAAACAAATAAGGGCTCAAAGTGACCCTTGATGTAGTCCTATCCTAATCGGGAAGTCATCCGTGTCTCCATCACTTGTTCGAACTCTAGTCACAACATTGTTGTACATGTCCTTAATGAGCCCGACGTACTTCGTTGGGACTTTATGTTTGTCCAAAGCCCACCACATAACATTCCTTGGTATTTTATCATAAGCCTTCTCCAAGTCAATAAAAACCATGTGTAGGTCCTTCTTCTTCTCCCTATACCGCTCCATAACTTGTCTTATTAAGAAAATGGCTTCCATGGTTGACCTTCCGGGCATGAAACCAAATTGGTTCATAGAGACCCGCGTTATTGCTCTCAAGCGATGCTCGATAACTCTCTCCCATAGCTTCATAGTATGGCTCATCAACTTAATTCCCCGGTAATTTGTACAACTTTGAATATCCCCTTTATTCTTGTAGATCGGTACCAATATACTTCTCCTCCACTCATCAGGCATCTTGTTTGATCGAAAAATATGGTTGAACAACTTGGTCAACCATACTACAGCTATGTCCCCGAGGCATCTCCACACCTCGATTGGGATACCATCCGGTCTCATCGCCTTACCTCCTTTCATCCTTTTCAACGCCTCTCTGACCTCAGATTCTTGGATTCTCCGCACAAAGCGTCAATTGGTGTCATCAAAAGAGTCATCCAACTGAAAGGTTATGCCCATATTCTCACCATTGAACAATTTGTCAAAATACTCTTGCCATCGATGTCGGATCTCATCCTCCTTTACCAAGAGATGCTCCCTTTCATCCTTAATGCACTTAACTTGGTTGAAGTCCCGTGTCTTTCTCTCACGAACCCTAGCCATCCTATAAATGTCCTTCTCTCCTTCCTTTATACTCAAATGTTGGTAAAGATCCTCGTACGCTCTAGCCTTTGCCACACTTACAGCTCGCTTTGCAGTCTTCTTTGCCACCTTGTACTTCTCTATGTTGTCCACACTCCTGTCATGGTACAAGCGTCTATAGCATTCTTTCTTCTCCTTAATATCCCTTTGGACTTCCTCGTTCCACCACCAAGTGTCTTTAGCCTTGCGTCCCCTTCCTTTGGTTACTCCACACACCTCTGAGGCTACCTTCCGAATGTTGGTTGCCATCTTGTCCCACATATTGTTTATGTCGTCTTCTTCCTTCCAAGAGCCCTCTTTGATAACCCTTTCCCTAAATACCTCTGACGTCTCCCCTTTCAGTTTCCACCACTTTGTTCTTTCAATCTTAGCTTGTTTATCCCTCACAGGCACGCTTTTGAAAAACGAAAAGCGCCACCAAAAGCTTATGTTGAGAAACAACACACTCCTCAGTATCACCTTGCAATCCAAGCATGCTCGTTTGTCCTTTCTTCTTGCGAGGACAAAGTCAATCAGCTACTGATGTTGTCATCTCATGAAGGTCACTAGATGAGATTCTCTCTTTCTAAAGAAAGTGTTGGCTATCATCGGTCAAAAGCTACCCATGAAGTCCGAACTTCCTCCTCCTCCCCGATTCCTACTACCATACCCAAAACCTCCATGAAGCGCCTCGAAACTCAAGGCTTGTAGTACCTACATGCCCATTCAGATCTTCTCCTATAAAAAGCTTCTCACTACTAGGTATAGCTCTAACTGTGCCATCTAAGTCTTCCTGTAGCTGTCTCTTAGCACTCTCGTCGAGGCCTACTTGGGGGCATACGCACTAATTACGTTCAAGACCATATCACCAACGACAAGCTTGACTAAGATAATCCTATCTCCTTGCCTTCTCACTCCCACCACACCATTTTTGAGGCTCTTATCAATCAAAACTCCTACTCCATTTCTATTCGCGACTGTCCCTGTGTACCAAAGCTTGAAACCTGTATTGTCCACCTCCTTCGCCTTCTGACCCTTCCATTTAGTCTCTTGAACGCATAATATATTTACACGCCTCCTAGTCGCGGTATCAACTAATTCTCTTAACTTACCTGTAAGTGACCCTACATTCCAACTACCTAAACGGATCCTAGTTGGTTCGACTAGCTTCCTTACCCTTCGCACCCGTCGACTCTGATGCGAAGACCCTTGCTCATTTTTCACTACACCCGGGCGCCGATGTAGCGCGCCACTAAGAAAGCGATGACCCGATCCTTGGTTACTTGACACCATGCCCAGATCACGACACGGCGCGTCACGGGGGTGACGACCCGGCCCTTGCCCATTTAACACCATACCCGGGTTCCGATATGGCGCGTCGCTAAGAGGGTTACGCCCCAACGATTTTCTTTCGGGTTTCATCTCCATTTAAGTGGCTAAGTTTTTACATTGGCTCGCCACGCCTAACACAACCCTCCTCCTTTACCAGGGCTTGGGACCTGCTATGCTGGGACACCAAAGGCGCCCCACCATAGGCGGAGTTGTAGGATTGAAATAAGGGCTTCTTTTTTTAGGTTCACATTATATGCAGTTATGGCACTTGGTGAAACCCAGATCTTATCAGGGTAGAGATGGATTTTGGTTCTTTGAGCACCCTTGGCACTTCTCTACATGGCTTTCCACTGTGTGTTGATTCGAAGAACTGAATCCTGTCTCTATTTGTTTGTGTCAAATTCAGTTGGCTCGCAAAAATAAAATGTACTTCCTATTATTTATCTAACTGAGTTACTAATATGATCAATCATTGTTTACTGATATTTCATTGGACATGAACAAGGTCAAAACATCTATTGAAGTGCTTAAAAATGTTCTTACCCAAGCCAAATAGCACAGAGGGTCAGAGGCCACTGGTGGTATTTGCACATATACCGCAACAATAACATTTCTGTGCTATCTCCTTCGCAATCTTAATACATGTGTGAATTTTCATATGCTGCAATAGTTATCATTCTTGTGCAATCTCATACACAATCTCAATACGTTCGTGAATTCTCATAGGCTGGACATTATCAAAAGCCAGATGATGTTCCATTCTTCCCTCAAGATCTCCCCTCGCCCCTCTTTCCTTCCAAGACTTCCCCAAAGGTGCGCATCGTCAGGCATTAACCTTGGCATATCAAGAACTGATAATGATAACTGCTGAGATGCTGAACTTCTATTGCTTTTTTTATTAGGTTTTGCATCCTTTTGCTTCATTGGTCACTGTGAATGATGCAATATGGAAAATGTATTTTGATGAATTGCTCCCACTGTTCACTGTTGATGGTGATGATGGTAGCTATGCACAAACAGTTGCATTGGATTTTGCGTGTCTGCAGGTATGATTTCTATGCTAGAATTTCTTTTACTACAGGAATAAATGCAAATTGGCAGCCTTTCACTTTGAAAATATTGTATGCCTGTAACATACGGTTTTGTTTCTTGTAGGTTCTATCACAAAGAATTCATATTGGTAAATATGTTGCTGAGGTGAAGTTCAAAGACGCTCCTCAAGATTATAGTCGATTAATAAAAGCAAAGGTCAATCTACTGAACATCTCATTCTCTTCCTCCTCAAATTATCTTATATTTACAGGGTTGGTAGGTTTAGTGGTATTATGTATAGCAATATAAGAGATGTTTGGTGTTCCCAAGGGCTACACATATTGGTGCACCTTGATAGTTGAAGTTCAACTAAGAAAACAGCTTAATTTCCTCCAATGGGTAGCTTTGTATTTGTATGTTATATATATTGTATGGTACTAAGGTACTCACACATTATCACATCTTCAGACTGCTTTCAATGTGCTTTAGACATGAAGCTCCAGAACATGAACCATTTATACTTCATCTCACTGTCAATGCAGGACAGCAATTCTCTGATGGATCTGCTGACATTCAAGGCTGTGGAAGAGAAGGTCAAGAAGAGAGTAGAGAAGAAGGCCAGGACCTTCGGGCAGAACGTCATCTTGGAGGACAATGCCACTGCTGGTGACAGCGAGTGCAAGGTCGATCCCAAAGTGCTCTCCAAGCTGTATGATCAGTGGGTGATGCCACTGACCAAGGACGTCGAAGTCGAGTATCTCCTGCGCCGCCTCGACTGATCACCGATTAGCTGTAGCTGCAAATTTTATGTATGCGTGGTTTTCAGTTTATTGTGCGCATGCCTTTATTTGCTTTATCATTAAAACTCAACTACGAGAGAATGTTACCAGGATCTGGACTTCGTCTGTCTCATCCTGCCTGACCATCATCTGCATGAGTGTGGCACCCATGATGTGGAATGCAAGGAATGTAGTCCAGCTGACCAGCTGCTTCCATGTTATCTTTAAGCGCCTGTTGTTCGTCTGGAAGTGACTGGCAACACAGTTGGGCACCAATTCTCTGGTTTAGAAACGTATTATGTTTCTTGCTTACCTGACAAATACTAAGCAAAATAGTTACAGCTTTGACATGTACTCCCTCCGTCCCAGTATATAAGGTGTAACCACCTCTGGTTCAAAGATGAGTATCTTTCAACACTGTATTACAGTATCGATATACGTGTCTAGAGAGAGCACGCCTTATGCTATATGATTTGAATAAAAAGTGATTACGCCTTATATATTAGGACAGAGCATTATATATTAGGACGGAGGGAGTAATCGATAATTTAGTTCCCTTGTGGTGATCAGTTAACTAGTCCAAGCTGATTATTACGGGCCTTTGTTGACAGTAAAATTGAGGGAAATGGGCAATAATGTCAAGCTGAAAAACTTCAGAGCAGGTCCCGATGTTGAACCGTGCAAGGCATTATATAGGTACACCCATACGATTTATGCTTCAGTTTTACATCAACAAATGTAATGGACGCTTGTCAATTGTTTGCGTACGTGATTAACCCTGCTTTCGCTTGCCTTCCCAGTGATGTGTCATGAATGAAACTGAGCTGCTGGGTCTCCACTGCCTCTTTTAACATCCTTACTACAGATCCTCGCAGTGTTACTTCTCATGATATGGAATGGAAAGTTCCTCTTCACGATGATAGTACTTTGTTTTTGTTGGGCTATCCCTCCACATGGAGGATGCAATTGAGCCCAGCAAAAACATCCCACAAGCCCAGTGCTTGTACACCGTTGATTTCGGTTGGAATCAACCGAAATCAACGGTTGAGATTGATCCTAGGAAGGATAAAAGAGAGAAAACTCTAGCCTCCATTCTCAGCTGAGCAAGAGAGAGAGCTGCTGCTGTGAGAGAGGAGGTGAGAGCAGAACACAAGAACAACACAACTTGAAAGAAGAGAGGAAGAAGGAGAAGCAAATCTGTCCAGATTTGGTGGCTCTGAACTGGTCATCTTCAAGCCGGTGATTGGAGTCTCAAACGTGGTTGGATTGGCACCAAACTTGGTGAGCTCGTTCCTCACTTAGAGTACTTCGATTTGTTAAGTTGGTTTGAGGATTGGTTGAGTAGAGCACCAGATTTGAGAGGGGTTTTGTCAGTTCGGGTCACTGCAGTTTCAGAACAGAGCAGTTTTAGTAGATGATTTGTTTGGGTAGTCAAACGGTGTCCGATTGAGCTGAAATTTGGTAAGTGGTTAGGGGACTCGTGGATATAGTTTCCTACCAAAATTCGTGCACATTGGATCTGTATTTTGTAAGATATGAACTGATTACAGAGGGGGACAGAATCTGTGACTTCTCTGTTTGACTGCTGCCATTCCTCTTGTTAGAAGGTTGTGGTTGTAGTTGATGCCAAGTTTGTAACTTGATGAATGTGTTGTTGCTGGTGTAATCCTCTAGATGCTCTAGAGAAGACTGCTTGTACCCATTATTAAATATAGTGGAAGCTTGCAAGCTTGGAGTGGACCGGTTGGTCCCGTGGTTTTTACTCCTCACCTTGAGGAGGTTTTCCATGTAAATCATTGTGTCTATTGTGCATGTGATTGTTAATTGCCGCTGCTGATCTGATGGTAAATGTTCTCCTCATGATTCATCACAAGATGAGGGATTAATTGTGCATTGTATTTGCCCTTTTATCCCAACAGTTTTCTTCCCCCTTTGTATGAAAAAGGGTGCATCAATTGGCAGTACACCGTTTGAGTCACTATCCTATCTAGTGCATCAGCTGAGCCCACATGGCCTGAAGATGCACTGGAGAAAGTTTATCTGCAGGTATTTATAGTTCGATTGTTATTGAGGAACTTATTCATGAAAAACTCATACGCAATAGTTAACATCTATGACAAATAATATAGGGAGATTTTCATGATCTTTGACTTGGGTTCTATCTCTATGATAAACGAGAAGAAGCTTGTGGCATCACCGCTATTTCTTGTCAGAGAGGAAGTTCAGAAGAGTAATTACTTGAAAATGCTCGGGAAAAACTAAAGGTTAGCAATTTTTTATGATTTTTTTTCTGTGGTTTCTTTTGTAACTCTGCTGTTTGAACTTACCTTCAGGTTGGAACTTTAAATCAGTAAGATTCTATAGACAAGTTTGGTTATTTTGACTGATATTTTTGCAGTTCCTTGAACCACAAGCTTATAAAATTCCAATGGCTAAACTAAGTACAGATGTGGAGTACCAAGGCAGATCTGGTCCCAATTCCTATGATTATGTCTGCTGGGCGAAATGCCTAATTCCTAATACTAATGAACGAAGTTGAAAGACACTGTGGCATGTGCAACAGCCATCCTTTGAGCCAACTGAGGCAAGGAGTTGGCAGCATGCAGCTTATCTTCATGCCTATATTTGTTGAATTAGCTATCCTTGTCATTTTTTTGGGCAAGTAACAAGAAGGAATGAGATCTAACACATTGTTTTGAGACTTCCTCTTCTCAGCTGTTGCCATCCAGCTTCCAGCCCTCCTCACTCCTCAGCATGGTGGGATATAACTCGTTATTTTGAAAGTGTATCTGTTTATGAATCGAACCTTATTGGACATGATGTGTGGACAGGAGTCAAAACTGGTATAGTCTTGGCAGTGCTCCTAAGCAATCGGCTATAAAGTAGATCAAAATAAACATGCGTGATTACTGTATTCTTGTGGATCTTTCACTTTCCAAAAAAAAGCAACATGATATCTTTTTGGTCTCCGGGAATGATTCGAAGTGTATTTCTTATTCATCATTGGTGATTAATCTTCACCAGTAAATTACTATTTCAGATTATTTGGAGTGCATTTCTTATCCATCTTTGCTGATTAGTCTTCATCAGTGAATTATTATTTCAGGGATTAGTATCTGTGCCAATTGGTGCGTGCAAAATAAAATTTTGTGATTAGTCTTTACCAATAAATTACCATTCATATATTAATATCTATGCTATTGGAATGTGCAAAATAAAGTTTTCGATTGCAGGATACTATTCACTGACTGATATTTTTGTTTGTTGTTAGCTTTTCTTTGTTCTTTTATTCTTTCTAGGCTTGTTATATTATTACTAGCCATTTTTTCTCTTTTATTTGGGTACATTCCTCATGCAAGGTGACCTAAAAGAAGATTGTTGTTTTGTCTAACTTATTTATTTGTTCCCTTTGTAACAAGTTCTATTCGGTTTTTGCTTAAGTGGTTCACTAACTGATTGGACTGATATTTTGCTTATCCTCGTCCAATTGCAGTTCTTGTTAGATATAGTTGCATAGTGTCTTTTAAGCAGATTGGACTGCTTATGCATATTCTTGTCCACATTACACTCTTTATTAGATGGGCCAACTCGCATATTTATTCTCAATCTGCACATGACAGCCAGCAACAGATATGCTTCTGTCTTTAATTTGTGGCCTCCTATCTAGGGAGGCTCTTTAGACCAAGAGAAATGCAAGGAATGTTCTGTTCATAGTTTGAAAAAAATTTACACAGCAGATGTATGACATAAACAACTGCACTTTTTCTCAGTGCACATAGAATATCTTCAGTTTTGTTCTGTTTGCATTTGGAAAATGAACAGCCAACACATGTAAGTTGGCATCGATAGCTGCATGTCATTCGAAGTAGGAAATGCATTTCAGAATCAAATTCCAAGCTGTATTGGTTTCCAGTGTCACTTGCAAATTGCACTATTTTGCAATTTTATGTATTTTTGCCCTCTGTACATATTTTTTACTTCTTTATAGAAAAACATATTTGTTACTTTTCACCAAACAAATAGTTTGATTGCTACGTATATCATAATGTCCAACGTTTCTGTTTCAGGTTTTGGAGAACCTAAGGATACTGAGGCAGTACAAGGATAAAATTGCTTCGTTTGTTTCTTAGCTGTTTCTATCCTGATTAAGAGAGAGCCCAGAACGTAAGTCTTAGTATAAATTTCACGTAGGGCCTGGCTGTGGCCAGTGGCTTGAAGAAGATACGCACTGTCTGCACTCTGCAATTGGGTAAAAGGCAATTAGTATTCGAGCCCCTTTATATGCTATCTAGGGTTGGTTGTGACATTATCACGAAATCAGCACTTTCCTTTGTGAGCTGCATTCAGCTGGACCCATCAAGTTGCTGCATAGAAAAGCCTTTCATTTTCAACATTCAGAGATTTGATCTAACATTTGTGCCAGATGTGATCTTGTTGAAACAAGAGATTACTACAAGATACAGTAAGTAGAAGACTTCTTTCAAAGCTTCAATACCTTGATTTACGTTTGTTCGATGGTCAGTGATATGGACCTTATAAATTATTCAAGGGAACTATTGATTGTAACGGGTATGTTTGGTATGGCTCTCGCTCTAGCTTCAACAACAGCTTCGGCGGAGGAGCCTTACCAAATACCTTCGGAGGAGGAGTTTTTTTTTTCGGAGCTGCAATTTGTGGCTTCTCCCTCCAACTCCCTTTTGTAGTCCTCATCACTCAAATTCACGCTGGTTGCATGGTCGATGCTGCTGTGACTCAGTTCATGTAAACTATAAACAAATAAACTTTATTCACTTTGAAATTTGATTGAATAACTGTGCTAGGATGAGCTATGATTCATTGCTATACAAGAGACCCCAAGTGCAGCATATCCAGTGTTCTGGCCCTTGAATGCATCTTCGAGAGATAGATAGATGACCAGTTCACTTAGAAAATGACCACCGACTGCTCTCCAGAAGTTCAGAGTTTCAGAACCAATCATACTTGGGGTGCAAGTGCAAGCTGCAAGACGCAATCCAATTTTTGTATCGACTTGCAACATCATGTCCATGTATAATGTATATACAGGGTCTTCATAAAAAATCAAAACTTGTTCGCATTGGGCCAACGTCAGAACTCCCGGGGGTCCACGAACAGGACGCTGGGCGGCGGCGACGTCGTCCACTCATCGTCGTCGCTGCCAGCATTGTCGCTGGCGGTGGAATCACCGAGCTTCTTGATACACCAGACGTCCTCGTCGCACGAGAACTTGGGCCAGTGCGGCACCACGGCCTTGGCCGGGTCGTCAGGCCCGAGGTCGGCCGCCAGAACGGCGCACGCGGGGTTCTTGCGCGCGACGTTGTGCGCGTGCCGGCAGAGCGAGCGGAGGAGCGCCGGGCCCTCCGGTCCGGACATGCGGAGGCCGTACATGAGGTAGGTCCCGAACGGGCGGAAGATGTCGGGCACGGAGGGCACCTGCAGCCACGGCGCGTGGCGGTCGAGCGCGCGCGCCGCGGCCAGGGACGCGCGGAGGAGCGTGGGCGCGCCGCCGACGCGGAGCCGGAGGGAGCGCGTGGCGTCCCAGACGCTGAGCAGCGCAAACGACGGCGGCGTCCGCGCGGGGTCCTCGTCGGGGCCGCCGCCGCGCTGGATGGCGAGGTACGTGCCGAGGGTGAGCTTGTGGTTGAGCAGGGCCGGGAGGTCGGCGGGGAGGAACTCGCCGGCCGAGGGCGGGAGCAGCGCGGCGTAGGCGGCCACGGCGAGCGGCGGGGGCAGGCGCAGCACGCGGTGGGCTCGCGGGATGCGCACCCGGTGCCGGTGCACGGGGTGGCCCAGGAACACCGGCCGCCGGAACGGCGCGTACGCGAAGCGGCCGGTGAAGAGCGCGAGCGACGCCGCGTTGGACTCGGTGGTGGCCATGGTGGCGTACGCCGCGCCGCGCGCCGCGCACCACGACTCGGCGCGCCGGACCAGCTCCGTCGCGATCCCGAGGCGCCTGCAAAACGGAGACGAAGGCGACTGTCAGCGCACTGACCCCACGTGGTGGTGGTGGTTGCTCGCATTGCTTTGCTCGCGCAATGTGTCAGCATCGGATGATTTGTGCACAGTGATTAACTCGGGTTAATTGCTCAGTTGTTTATTCACCTGTGGGAGGGGGATACCCTGAGGCCAAGAAGGCATGCCACCTTGACGAACTGCTTCGAGCTGCTGCTGAGGCTTTGCTTCTTCTTCCCTCTGCTCACCATCCTGGTGCACGCCTTGATCACTCCGACAACCTCGTCTTCGTCCCCGTACTCAGCAACCTGAACAAATCAAGCACACTCATGAGCATCGCTATCATGCCGGAGGCACGCAAGGTCAGACTGAAGCGTCAATGGCGGCGGCTGGGTGCATGCGTTGTGGTATAGTAAAATTACCAGCATGACGTTGTCCGGCGCATGGCGCACCCGGGCAAACGGGTGGCCGATCTGCTCGACGTAGAGCGACATGCCTTTCTTCTTCTTCTTCTTGCTGCTCTTGGTCGTCTTCTCCGCGCCGCCACCATCATGGTCGGCGACAGGGTCAGAGCCTTGGTCTCCCGACAGGCCGACCTGGCACAGACGCTCCAGCTCCTCCACAGCCCGGAGGTCCCTCTCCACGTCAAACTCCCTCACTCTTATCATCGTCTTCTTCACTGGCTCTGCTTCGTCCATCACCCCCATACCTCTCTACCACTTTCTTGCTAATAACTCAGTTATGGACTATGGTGATCTCTCTCTGTTGTTTTTCCAGTAGATTGAGCAAAGCAAACACAACTACAAGCTTCTTGAGAGCTCTTGTTGAGTGCTGCTGCTTCTCACTTGGGAGGGAAGGAGCTGGGCATTTATACACGTAGGCACAGAGAGAGAGAGAGAGAGAGAGAGAGAGAGAGAGGGGAAAGAGCTTAGGAGGCTGGGGTCTGTGGGGCCAGGAGAAAACAATAGTAGTGATCAATGGATGACATGCAAGGGGGGAAAACAATGTTGAAGCTTGATTTGATCACTAGTAGGGATTAACAAGTGATGTTGAGCATGATGGCAAACCCAACATAAACATGGCATAGAATATGTCTCTGTGCTTATCTAATAATGTAGGACCAGTTCCTAGCCATCTCTCTGCAGTTCCATGTCCTGTACTCCTGTGTATAGCTGTCCTTAACCACTACTCCTTAATTACAAGTGTTAAGAAATGGGGCCTAGTAATTAGGAACCGTGTCCAATTAGCTAGATATATATAGATGCAATATCGTTGTTACCGAATTGAAGTCACGCATATGCAGCTATGGATTATGCTGCCTAGCTACTCTGTGTTGAAAGATAGTAGGGACACTACTATGTTTAAACAAGTGAGATTCTGCTCTGTGTTTTCTATGTATGTATTGCTTACTAGATAAGCTCACCTAGCTTTATGAACATTGATGAAGTTAGATAGCTGGGATGTAGGCCAAAACCTAGAAATTCCAGCTAGGGCATCCAAATATATTTTGCTGCGGGCAAAGCATTTATGTGGATCAGTACCCAATCAGGATATAATCTTATGGAATATAATCATATATATGTCTACCTAGATATAACTGATGTTTGAGTTAAAATCCTTTGGTTGGGTTAAGAGAATTTGAGCTACAGAATAAAAGAGAGCACAAGAAAGCAATTCTTAGCCTTGAGAACTCGTGGAAAAATCAAGCAACTCATGAATAATTTGTTACCCTTAGAGGTGAAACCTCCTAGATGGCTTGGCGTCACCCACCAAGCACCCGAGGCTATGGTGTGCTGCAGGAAGTTTGTGAGACCTACACTGTTGTCTTCGGAAGTAAAAATACCAAGCTAGTGGATTAAGGAAAGTGTTTGAAAGAGATCTAGCTTAAGCTTCACTCTCGGGTGGGATTCATGGTGGTGAATACCAACTTTAGATAAACAAATCTTTGCATCTCCACTTTGGTCTGATTGTGAATCCCCTTATTTTTTATTTTATTTATTACTTATTTATTTATTTATTCGCGAATGGTGAATCCCCTTATTTGCATTGCACTGTGATTCTTGTGAGTTCTACTTGGTTTGTGCTTACTTGTGTGTAGGGACCTCGTGATAGTAACTTCGTGGACGTCATCTAGGAGCTGCGGTCTTAATTGCTTATCTTAAATAACTCAATTCCTGGTGTATCCAATTTTTTTAAGAAAACCGGAGGATGTGATTTGGAAACTGGACCATGATTTTTGCTAATTCCACTACGAGTTTTGTAAAATTAAGGGAACACTAATTCCAAGCGACGTACCAATCCTTTCAAGGGCTTTGCTGTGGTACCCCAAATGACTATGAGCCGTTTATTTATTTTGATCGGACGCTTATGATCTCTTGTTACCTTGTAGGAAGTGAAGTAATAGGTGATATATATATATATATATATATATATAAGTACGGAAAGTTTTGGATATAAAATATATTTTTCCTATATTTGATTGATGCATGCTGATATGGTCGATATAGCAAATCTTTTTAATTTTGCAACGTTGGACTTGATATCTTTTGATTGCCATGTAATCTGATACACTTGATTTTATATGAATGTGATTTGCATGTGCAACGTTAATTATGTGTTGCATGTATCAGCAGAGTCAGAATTATATTGGTTTTGGAGATCAACGTTGTATTAGCTTTTGTGGTTTCAAACAAAAGAGCGTGTGCGTTCTGGAGATCAAAATCAACGTTGCATCAACAAACTCTTTTTTATGTATAACGTTGTGTTGTCATTGGCCATCTTCGTTTGGAGTTGCATAGTATAAGGAAGTGAAAAATAATTAAAAAAAAAGTTTAAATATAAGATTGTATCATATGTTTTTTAATCTATGTGATTTAGTAAAATCCACAATGTTAATGGGCAAATTCCAAGTGCACGTTATGCATCAAAAATGATTTTTTTAATTTTAATTAATGCCAATGCCTGCTTGTGCGCTTCTGTGATGTACGCCATTGGGATCCCATGCTGCCTGGTGCACATAATTAAGCAAGGAAAGGCAACTATGTTTGGCCGGTGACTAGGGGATTTGGGAGATTTTCCCCCTTCTCTTAAGTTATTATTTGTTTATATATTTAATTTAGAAATTTTCAAAAATCAATGGTCTAGGTTTATTTGAACTATTACCTCCTATTAGGTAATAGGAGTACCTTAGCATTGCCCTCCTTTCAAAGAGGATTTTGCAAGCTTCGTTATTTGTGCTAATATAAGGATAATATCCTTGTGAAACTGAACATATTTGTTTCTGAAAAGAAAAAGGGACCTAAAATTGAAGGTAATAGAAACTGAAGATACCCCCCATCCCTACTAGCTGACCTAATAAACTCATTTCCTTCTATTTCAGGTATGCTGGTGAGAATGTTTGGCCTATTTCCTACTGGTTTCTTAGCTCCAACTTGGGATTTTGAGTTGTATCAGTCTTCGTCAGGATCAACCTGGCAAACTTGTAAACTTGTTGTTGTCGTGCATGTGTTTAACATATTGCATGATGATTCCGTGACCCCATTCTAAATTGCATATGTCATATTCAACCATAGCTTACACTCTTGAGCAATTGTACTCTTTAGGATTAATAATTATTTGCAATGGACTTGCACACGACTTGCTGAGTGTTTTTCTCACCTCTACACTATATATAGACATCTGTGTGATGGTACTTCCTTCGTTCCAAATTATAAGATGTTTTGACTTTTCTAGATACATTGTTTTTTACTACGCATCTAGACATAGTATATATCTAAGTACATATATAGCAAAAGCTACGTATCTAGAAACATCTTATCGTTTGGAATGGAGGGAGTAACTGGTAAGTTCAATTGATGGTGAAAGTTTATTGACGCAATCAATGAGGCCTAGGTCTGAATTAATTCAGGGATGTATATGCATCTTAACTTTGAAAACTAATAACCATATGAATATAAGCTATTATCCGAATAACTCGTGACGATTTTTCATATACGAAACATTCCTAACAAATTTCTGAATGTTTTGAACCATTAATTCTTCATTTTCATGACGGTTCTTGGCCAACAGGAGTGATCAGTTCTGTATTTGATAGTAGTTGTTTACTGCACACTAACCATGCATGCATGATTATCACTAAAATACATATCATAATAAAGATAATCAAGGAACAACTTTTATAGAAATCAAATTAAAATAGCTTGATCCTGTCTTTGCGAGAATATTTTAGACTGGAGTAAAGTGGACCAAGTTTCCTGTTCGGTTGGTATTAAAGCCGGCTGAAGCTGATTTGTTGTGAGAGAAAAATGCTGTACATTCTACCTGATAAGCCGACTGATTTGGCTGTACTGCAGTACTAGTGTGTACTTGCTGTAATGCTAAGTCTAGTACTGGTACCACCCTAAACCACATTGAATGCTTAATCAGTATGAAAACTATAAGCGCACGTTGAATATCATTTTGACCATAGGAGCTTTCCTCGTCCGTTCCAACTAGTGTGGTACTGAAACAAAGTTGTTAGCTAGCTTGTACATTTCCTTGACAGATGATGTGTGTCCTAATCCTACTGAATATACATAGAATTTTTTTTTGTTTAGAATGTAGATTTTTTTTTTTTTGAGGAAATTTTAGAATGTAGATCAGTATATATATACTTATCGTTGGTGTAAATCGATAGATGAGTGATGAATTTGTCCCGTGCATCATGCATTCTGAATCTATTTTAATTGGGTTCACTGTTTGTTTGTGTAAGCTATAGCCAAATTTCAACACTAGGCAAACTCTAGAGCAAACTTTTGCCAAATTAATTAAGTTTGGAGTGAACCGGCAATACGTATATCCCTGCTGGTTCCAGCTGCAACGGGCAATGGCATACAGCAGTGTAATACATTTCTTGGTTCAACTTGTCAGCTTAACAAATATCAAACGAGTGGTCTAACTTGGTACGCATATATAGTTGCTTGCATTATTGTGTTAATAAATTTGCCATGGTGATTGGGAGGTGACAGAATATTCTTGATGCAACTCAAGAGAATATTTTAAAAATGTTACTGGATAGTATATATGTTTCTTAATCTTAACCAACTAAGAACATTCAAACTTATTGGATTATTGATTATAAATACTAAGTAATGTACTATAACTAATGTGCTTACGTCTGTACCAACTCAGGTGGCGTCTATTTTGACTTCACCATAATTAAGTCTATGACAAGAGAGTTAATCTAAATGTAAGCAATGCAATCAGTCATTAATGAACTCACAATGAACTCATGTGCATATATTGAGGCCCCACTTGCATTGGAACAAGAGAATTTTCTTGTACATCGAAAAACAGATTTCTTGTCCATCTTTTACTTTGCAAAAATCCTGTGTACAAAGTTCAAGCATCATTTCAAACATGCCAGCTTGATACATTTTCCACAACTTCGCTATGGTACGATTCGTAGCAACTAATACTGATTCTGTTCCATATGTTAAGAGTACAGGAATCAACAAAACTAAGTACCTACTCAAGATCTGTCACCAAAAAGTAGCGCACATTTCGACAGACTATCATGAGGAGATATACATTTGGTACACATATAGATTGAGCAACTGCCGAGATGCGTATCTAGCTAAGCAAATTGGTTAAACATGTTTTTAAGAATTAAGCCTGGACCATTAGCTAGCTTGGTTGCATGTGAGGTCTCTCCTGGAAGGTACGTTCA